TTTTTTTATGTTACGAAACTCTGTGCCTTATTTAAATCCATTAACAAGCAGCCACCCTATTCAGGTTTAGCACGTTTCTTGGCCTATGTTTGTATGCTGTGGTGGCCATGACAATTTAGTTTTCAATACCTTTGTGGTATTGTTTTGATTCATTTGGTTTATATGTTATCACCAGTGCTCCCCATGTCCCCAGCTGGTGCTGCTCAGATGCTTTGGGAATAAAGATAGAAAATCTGACTTATGTGGCAAAGAAGTTTATTGTTCTGGGTACATTGCTCTATCTAGACCCTTTTGCAGGTTCTGCTCACCCTTCCAGGTGTCTGTGAGTAGGGAAGGAGAGGATTGAGCCAGAAAAGACAAAGAAGCTTTCCAGATGTAGCTGCTTACTATTGCTGGTGCCCAGGTTTTGCCCAACCACCTTGGTATCTATTGACAGAAAAGGACATCTCAGGCCTGGCAGAGAAGAATAATGCTTCTCCTTACCACTTATGACTGAGATACCTCCTAATTGATCCCCATGGCTGGTATGGTCAGGCTTACCTGGTGTGTTTTGATCCAGAAGAATGAGCTTAACTGGAATGCCTTTTGTTACTAGGTCAATAGTCAAAAAATGCTGGATCTGTGTGGCCTTCCTCTGTTGGAGGATCATAAGACATTCTGCTGCCATCATTTCTCCAGTCCTGGGGTTCCAAACAAGCCAGCTTTCCTTGTCACCACCTTGTACTGTTCTATTTTGCTTGCCTCTTGTACCATTTTCAGGGTTTATAGATGTGTTTAGTAGGGAAGAACATGGAAAATGGGTTTATACAATCTTGTCTGGACCAGAAATTTGTATTTGTTTATATCTCTATGTTAGATTTTGAAATTTTTGAAATCCAGGAGAGTCTTAATTTCTTTTTTTAATTATTTTTATGTCACAACATTAAGGGGGTACAAATGTTTTTGCTACATGGAAACCTTATGTAAGGCTTAAATTAGGGTTTTTAGTATGTCCATCACCAGAATAGTGTTCATTGTACCTGATAGGTAAGTTTTTACCTCTCACCTCCTCCCAACACCCTCCTTCTTGGTTTCCAATGGCCTTTACATCTCTTTGTGCCCATGTGTGTCTGTTGTTTAGCTCTCAGTTATTAGAGAGTACATGTGGTGTTTATTTTCCATTCCTGAGATACTTCACTTGGGGAAATGGCCTCCATTTCCATTCAAGTTGCTGCAAAAGACATTATTTCATTCCTTTTTATAGTAGTACTCTGTGGTGTGTGAATTGACGAGCATATATATATAATATATAACATATATATATATATATATATATATATATACACACACACACAACACATTTTCTTTAGTTATAAGTTGATTTCATATCTTTGAAATTGTGAATTGTGCTGCAATAAACATTCAAGTACAGGTGTTTTTATTAATAAAATGACTTCATTTGTTTTGGGTAGATACCCAGCAGTTGGATTTTGGGATTGAACAGTAAGTCTACATTTATTTCTTTGAGGAATCTCCATAACGTTTTCCATCGAGGGTACACTAACCTGCAGTCTCTGGAATAGTGTATAAGTGTTCCTTTCTCTCTGCATCCATGACAGCTTCTATTTTTTTTAAGACAGAGTCTCACTCTGTTACCTAGGCTAGAGTGCTGTGGCATCAGCCTAGCTCACAGCAACCTCAAACTCCTGGGCTCAGGTGATCCACCTGCCTCAGCCTCCCAAGTAGCTGGGACTACAGGCACGCACCACCATGCCCAGCTAATTTTTTCTATATTTTTCTAGTTGGCCAATTAATTCCTTTCTATTTTTAGTAGAGACAGGGTCTAGTTCTTGCTCAGGCTGGTTTCAAACTCTGGACCTTGAGCAATCTGCCCACCTCGGCCTCCCAGAGTACTAGGATTACAGGCGTGAGCCACCGCACCCAGCCATCATCTATTATTTTTTGACTTTTTAACAATAGCCATTCTGATTGGGATAAGGTAGTTTCTCATTGTGGTTTTAATTTTAATTTCCCTGATAATTAGTGATGTTGAGATTTTTAAAATATATTTGTTGGCCATTTGTCTATCTTTTGAAAATGTCTGTTCATGTCTTTTGCTCACTTTTTAATGATGTTTGTTTTCTTCTTGCTTATTTGTTTGAGTTGTTCCAGATTCTGGATATTGGCCCTTTATCTGATGTATAGTTGACAAATATTTTCTCATTCTGTAGGTTGTGTATTAACACTGTTGACTATTTCCTTTGCTGTACTAAAGGTTTTTAATTTAATTAAGACCTATTTACTTATTTTTGTTGTTGCTGTATTTGCCTTTGGAGTCTTAGTCATAAGTCCTTTGCCGAGGCCAGTGTCTAGAAGAGTTTGCCTACATTTTGTTCTAGAATTTTTATGGTTTCATGCCTTACATTTAAATCATTTATCCATCTTGAATTAATTTTTGTATATGGTGAGAAATAGAGGTCCTGTTTCATTCATGTGGCTATCCAGTTTTCCCACACCGTTTATTGAATAAGGCCTCCTTGCTCTGGTGTATGTTGTCTGCTTTGTCAAAGATCAGTTGGTTATAAGCAGAAGATTTTATTTCTGGGTTCTTTATTCTGTTTCATTGGTCTATGTATCTACTTTGATACCAGTACCATGCTATTTTGGTTACTATAGCCTTGTAGTATAATTTGAAGTTAAGTAAATTGATGCCTCCAGATTTTGCTTAAGATTACTTTGGATATTCGGGCTCTTTTCTGGTTCCAAACAATGCATAGGATTATTTTTTCTAGATCTGTGAAACATGACTTTGGTATTTTGATGAGGATTGCATTGAATCTGCAAATCATTTGGGGTAGTATGGACTTTTTAATGATGTTGATTATCCCAGTCCATAAGCATGGAATGTTTTTTCATTTGTTTGTGTCATCTATGATTTCTTTCACCAATGTTTTGCAGTTCTCCTTGTAGAGATCTTTCATCTCCTTGGCTAAGTATATTTCTAGATATATATATATATATATATTTTTGCAGCTATTATAATAAATGATTTTGAGTCCTTGATTTGACTCCCAGCTTGCCTATTGTTAGCATATAGAAATGCTATTAATTTTTGTGCATTGACTTTTGTAACCTGAGATTCTGCTGAATTTATTCATCAATTCTAAGAGTCTTTTGGTGGAGTCTTTAGGGTTTTCTAGATACAAAACTATATCGTTGGCAAACAGGGATAGTTTTTCTTCCTCTTTCCCGATTTGGATACCCTTTATTTCTTTCTCTTGTCTGATTGCTCTGGTTAGGGCTTCCAGTATTATGTTGAATAGTAGTGGTGGGGCACCTTGTCTTATTCCAGTTCATAGGGGGAGTGCTTTCAACTTTTCCCCATTTGGTATGGGCTTGTCATAAATAGCTTTTATAATTTTGAGGTTTTTTTCCATCTATGACTAGTTTTTTGAGGGTTTTTATCATGAAAGTGCACTGGATTTTATCAAATGCTTTTTCTGTATCTATTGAGATAATCATATGGTCTTTGCTTTTGCTTCTGTTTATGTGGTGAATGACATTTATTGATTTGTGTATGCTAAACCATCCTTATGTCCTTGGTATGAAACCCACTTGATCATGGTAAATAATCCTTTGATGTGCTGTTGAATTTGGTTTGCTAGTATCTTCTTGAGGGCTTTTGCATCATGTTCATAAGAGATATTGGTCCATAATTTTCTTTTTCTGTTGTGTTTTTTCCTGACTTTGATATCAAGGTGATACTGGCTTCATAGAATGAGTTAAGGAGGATTTCCTCCTTCCTGTGCTGTGAAATAATTTCTGTAGCATAGGTACCAGTTCTTTATAGATCTGGTATAATTGGGCTGTGAATTTGTCTTGTCTGGTTAATGCAATCATGTATATAAAGTCATCCATTTTTCCTTTTTCTGCCACAAAATTACAATTTCTTGTTGAAAAGAACATTGCTATTCCTTAGAAGCTGTAGCATATCATGGATAGTCCTGGCTGATCCCTGAAATGTGTTTACCTAGTCAATAATACACACTCACATATAAACATGTATCCCAGAAAGAACACCAAGACCACCACTGCATAAAGAGGTATCTGTGAATGTTTTTTCAGATAAACTTATTTGTGTATTTATGTGTGTATGGATGTGTTTACATTTGGCAGGTTGTGTTCTGTGTGGAGTGAATGACTTAAAGCATTTTATTCCAGCACATAAACTGAGAACTCAATAAAGATCACTTTTTACTGTATTCATTATTGTTGCTGTTGTTAGCATGGTTAGGTTTGTAAGAGTAATGTACTTGAAGCCTAAGCAAATGAATTCTAAGCTAGGCTCGCCAACATTATATCAAAATAATTCCTTAGATAAGTCATTTAAGCTTTTTGAATCTTTGACTTTTCATTTGTAACATAGGAGTGATAATAATATTTCCCTAAATTTCAGGAATTTGGCAACACCAAACAAGGTAATAAACTTAAAGGTACTTTGTAAACTATAAATTGCTGTCCAAGTAGAAAATATATGCATCCTGATGAGATGCTTATATAGGATAATAATCGACTTTTAAAATATGTATGGAAACATATGCTACAGATATGCTACTGTGAACCTTTTAAATTAGAGACACATGTGAAAAAATCAATTGTATCATTTTGTACATAGATATTGTTTTAGACCCCAGGTGTTATGTTACAGAATTACTGCCTTCTTTTAGTTTACGGATTTGGCATCATTCAAACTACTTTATGTATTTGAAATGGTATATATAGCATGCACTTAGATGAGTAATGTCTGATGTCTTTGTTAAAATGTGTCTCATTATCTTCTTTTCATATTATTTCATAATTTCTTTTATTGATAAGTATGTCATCAGCGGAACTATAAGGAAACTGAAATTTCTTTTTAAAAGTTAGGATAAAAGTGTTTATATATGTTCCCCTATAGATTTGACTATGGGATTATTATGAATGTTAAATTAATTATGTGATTTTCTTTTCTTCTCCCCTAGGTTGATTCCAATCTGTCAATTGGAAATTGAGTCACTAGTTAATTTTGGGACATTGGTTGCCAATAGTAAAGTATATTGTAAAGAGGTTACTATCGTTAACCATGGCAAAGCTCCAGGTAAATACTTTCTGTCATATAAATTCACTTACATTTTTTAGAAGAGTTGGTGTTATTTGAAATGCGTACCTTGTATAATTAATAGATTCTCTGATTCATCCAAAAAAGTCTATCATTTGAAATAATTCAAAACCAAAGACCCTAAGTAATATGACTGTAAAAGACTGATAGGCAATGATTCAGGAAAAATTAACCTGTCTCCTTATTATACTGATTAATAGAGGCTGGCTCTCAGATGACTGGTGATCTCCCTCAGGATAGGAGGCAGGCTAGTGTCATAGAAGTGACATAGTTCTTAGAGCTATCCAGAGACAGAATTAGAGCACAGTGCCTTACTAGTTGTGTGATCTGGGGCAAGTATCATTAACGATGTTGAACTTGAGATCCCTCATTTATAAAGTGAAGCTAATAAAATGTATGATGGTTAATTATGTGCATACTTAAAGTTGTGATATGGTACCTGGCTCATTATAGGCACTCAATAAATATTGGTCCTCTTTCTCTATCATATTCAACTTTGAATTCACATCATGATACCCAGAAGGCTTTTATTAATTTTCTGTTGAAAGAATAAATGCTTCTCTTTTCTCCATACTGGATTATTTACAGGGATTCTTATTATGAACTAAGAATTTCCATAAAGATATGTTCATGTATGCTTTTCATTGATAGCATACAGTAAGCATAAAATCACTTATCCCTTCAGTCTCTTGATTAGATGGTCAGCATGTGGGGTTGCAAGATTGCTATTTCTCCCAATCTAATATAAGGACTAACTATGGACAGGGAAGGTATTTCTGAGACTGTTTGTTGAATACATAAAATAGGTCTTAAATTCAAACCTCTTTTCCACTAACTGAGAATTTTCTCTGAGCATTAAGAATTATTAAAACAAAGGCAGTCTGTTACTTTATTGATTTCTTCCTAGGGTATAAAGGAATAAATCTGATACCTGTTCCTCATTGAATTTTGCTCATTTCACTTTCCATGCTTTGATTTTTAAATGAGTGAATGTCTGAGGATTAGGCCCATTTGTGATCTGACTCCAATGTTAAAGGATGAAATCTCTTATGGCAGGTGATTATGGGCTATAAGGTCCTTTAGACTCTCTGGTTATATTTTAGAGTAGTGATATGGAATTGAGAGATATTTATTTGTATTATTTTATTTTCCAAAATTTCTCTTAACTGTTATTTATTGAAAATCCTTCAAAGTTTTGATGACATTAATATGAATGTCATCCTGAAATCCTAAATGTCATCCTAAAATTTTATCCTAAAATCTCACCAAGTTGTACAGTTTTATTTCATATGAAAGCTCTCTACAAGTAAAAAATAAATATGCTTTTAATTTTAATTGAATAATATTAGTTTACTCAATAAAATAGAATAAATAAAATTAAATTGCAGAACTGGGTCCATATATTTTAGGAAAAATAATTTACATTGCCTATTAATATTGTGTTAACATTTTGTGTGTACATAGTATTTACACTATGTTAGGTTTATTATTATAATTGAATACTGTGAAATATTAATTACCATTATCTCACAAACTGAAACTAATTATTATCAATAAGCACATTTTCTTAATGTTGAGTTTGTCCGTCATTCTTGGAGTTGAATCATATTATTTTTCCACCATTACCAAAATTGATAGTATGCATTATACTTATAGTAGCAAGTACCTGTGAAGAGTTATAAAGTCCTCATTATCTATAAGCATATTAGTATTCATAACAAGGCATATTCATGAAATAAAACACACAGAAAAGAGATTCAGTAACCAAAGATGACTTTAATAAAAGTTTTGAAAAGCGTTTCACATGACAAATTTTTTATAGGTTTAGAGTCAAAGTTCAGATGCTTATAATTTTATATGTGTACTTAAAAGGACATTAAAAAATCCATACTCAGCAGGATAATAATTTGTACAGGTTTGTTTTCTCTCTCTGGTAGTGTCACTGGTGTTATTATCTTTGATTTTATAGACTCCAAAATTTATCCATGTAACAACTTCTTGGAGGTTTATTTTAATAGCCTTTTATGAAGTAAACATCCATGGATTTAGCCAAATGTTGAATACATTTTGTTTTCTTGCCCTTTATAAAAATGATTTCTAAGGTTATTCCTGACTATGCAAAAGAGTTCTTGTCTTTTTTTTCTGAAAAGATGTGGTTCGTTCGTTATGATGTATCTAATATTAGTACTTTGTGAGTTAACAAACTCCATGTTTAATTTTATGATTTTATGGTATGATAATACCTCTATTGTCTCTTAGCTTTCATCTTTGAAGATTGAAAAGAAACAGTATTAATTTACATGCCTTGAATTGAAATCATTTCTTTCTTTGCCTGAGCATCCTTGATTATTTGAGCAGGCCTTTTCTACTACAGTGTTATAATGTAGAATAGTTTCTGAAGTCCCTAAGTGTGATCCTTACACTCCATTTCTGGGTTTGAGCAGCTACCTCAAAACTCATCAACCTTTAGATTTATTTGGGCTACTTTACCCCAAATATATGACCTCTCATTTGTTCGTAATGCTCACTCTGCCCTTTCCCTTGATCATCAGCATCATCTCTCTACTTTACTGTCTAGAAAAGCCTGACATCATCTGTAAACCAGCAAATTTGCTAAACTGGACCAAACCCAGAAGTGGTCCTGAGGATCTTCCTTAGCCACTCAGAAAAGCACTCCCTACTTTTTCTCAGTGCATGGTTTTTGTCTTCAATTTTGTTTTCTTGGATACTGATGTCATGGAATTTCTGTATACTCTTTATGCATAATGCAATCCTAAACATATAATAAGCAATCAGTAAAAATTTGTTTAATTAATTTCATTCAGTGATTTCTCAGAGTTTTAGCAAAGAACCATTAAGCTTCGATGAAAGGTGATTAAACTCAAAAATAACCTGTTTAATTCCATATTAGCATTCTGAAGTGTCTCCCAAAATTTGGAGACCTGTGGAGCCTAGTATATCTTTGGTGTGCTTAGACCAAGGAAATGAGAAAAAAAAAAAAAAAAAAAAAAACAAGAAATAAACAATGGCCTTGGGTACATGACACTTGATTTTTAATAGCATCCTATTTAACTGCAGACTTTGGCCACCCTGGCTAGTTCTTACAGATACTTTGACACAAAATAAACTTTGTAGATAGTTTATACAACGTATTTTGGAGGAGGATAGGCAAGGTAGCAATGTATATTTCACCACCCAGTATATAAGCTACTTTTCTAATGGAAGTAGAACAACCCAGATTAAAAAAATACACAAATCTGTGTAAAGGACCTTTCATCTCAGGCATAGTTGTGAGTACCCTTACATCTTGTGTACTCTCCTAGGTCTTATCAGTGGGCAAGTCTATTTGTTTACTTTACATGGCTTATTAGCAACATTTGACATAGTTGGCCACTGCCATTTTCTTGGGAAAACAAACAAAACAAAAAACTCTTTGGCTTCTGTGACCCCCTCACTCTCTTACATAGAATCGTAATTAATAGCTCAGGTCCTGGAGTGAGCTTGAACAGGGCGCAAATCTTGGTTGCATCATTTACTAATTGGGAGGCCCTAGGCAAGGAATTTACTCTGTCCAAGCATTCATTGCCTCACCTATGCTTTAGTGATAAAGATAGAGCTTTCCTCTTCTAATTGTGGTGATGATCAATAAAATGCTTAGCACACTCTCTGGCATATATTAAGTATTCAATAAATATTAGCTATTGATGTTATAATTATTCTTTTTTTACTACCTCTTCCCTCTTCAATTCTCTTTTGTGGACTGCTGTTCCTCTTTGGAACATTAAATGTAAATATTCCTTTGCGTTTGTCATAGACTTTCATGTTTCCTCAGTCAATGTACACTTCCTGAACAACTTCTGTGTTTTTTTAATATATACATATATTTCACTGACTACTCCCAGATCTATACAACAACTTTGGATACCCTTCAGTTTTCTCAAACTGAAGCAAGTCTAAAGCCAAACTCAGCAGCTTCCCCCAATACTTCTCCTTTTTCCTTTTTCCTTGAATGTCACTACCATATATCTAGGCAAGTTAGAAAGTTGGGAAAATCCTCAACATGTCTCTCTTTTTTTGCCTCCTACCCTCTTAGTCAATTAGTAAAGCCTGTCTATCCACTTCCTAATTCAGTCTGTAATCCTACTCTTCTCTGTCTCCTTGTTACTTTTTTACAACAGGCAATCATCTTCTCTTGCCTAGTAACTACACCAACCTAAATTATTTCCCTGAAGACACCACTTGTCTCCTTTTAGTTTATTTCCCACACATGATTCAGTGTTATATCTGAAAAGAAATGAAAATCTGATCACAAAAGTTTCATTTGTTAGCTTTTTTTCAGTGACACTCTTCTCTTAGGAAGATGTCCTTGCTCCTGTTGTAAGCAATTTAAAAACTAAACAGAGAAATAGTTCCTTGTGTCAAAGTTACATTAAACATAGTAATGTTGACATACTTGCTCTTTTAATATATTTAGAAAATTGAACAGTGTTATTTTGGATTTTGGATTGTTCCTCAACAAGCTTTTGAAACATTCAGTTAAACTCTTTTGTCAAATTATGTCTGAGTGGTTACAATATAGGAAACTATTTCACTGACTCAATCTTAACTGAACTCATATAGCTATTTTTTTTTAGATAATTGAGTCAATAATATTTATTCAAAAGGGATATAGTTGTATAGATTTTGGGTTATCTTATGACAGAAAAAATGAACTTTAAATATTGTCATTAGCACTTCTATAAAAATGATTGAATTAACAAATTTTATAACTTTGAATTTTAAAAATATTGTCTTTTTATATTTTCAGTAATTTTATAATGCTAATATTTTGGTCTAAGTTACAGGAATAATTTTCGAAAATGTCAAAAAATGTGATTTAAAACTGGTGAATTGGGAATTTGCAAAATTGTTTATGTTGGCAGCATGCTCCTCTGTGTTGATATTTTATAATGATAATAAAGAAGCTAGTGATTGTCTGCTTTCATTTGTTGAACATATTTTGAGCACTGCTTAGTGCTAAGCAGAGTGTAGGGAGGCTGGGACCACAGAGATAAAAAGAGATTATATCTGATCTCAAGGATCACATGCTTTAATATAGGCACCAAACATCACCACTAATTATGATCTATTAATATTTCTGCTTTCAGAATAGGAACCTTTGTAGCCTTCTTTTCATATGCCATTTGATTCCAGAAACCTATTCTCTTTGCCCTTACCCTGTATGAACTGGATAAATTCATCTCTAGAAAAGTGATAGTGGCTATAGGTGTGACCTTTGTTGTCAGAAACATCCGAGTGAAAATCTTTATTAGTTAATCAGCTTTATTAGTTACTAGCTATAGTAGTTAACTATCACTACATAACAAACCACCCCCGAATATCTTAAAATAATAATTATTTTTTAATTGTTCATGTGTATGTGGATTGGCTGGAACTTAAGTGATCTAGGCTGGGCTCAGCCAGGTGTTCTGCTTCATGTTGAGGCAGCTAGGGCTGTTCTGTTTCTCATTGCAGGTCTTTGGGTCAGCTGGGTGCTTCTGTTCCACATTTGCTCATTAGGGCATAGGCCAGAGAGATAGCAGCTGCTTAGGAGAAACTCTTCCCAATTCCCATGGAAGAAGTGCATCTGTGTTGGAACTGGCATGCTGTCAATTCCACCCACATGTTATTGGCCAAAGCAAATTACATGATCAAGCCCAAAATCAAGGAATAGGAAAACACACTTTGTATATTATAGGGTAGGGGTATGGATGCAGAGAAGGGTGAACAATTGGGGTCAACAATCTAATCTACCACACTAGTTGTGTGATTTTGGGTGAGTCACTTGACATTTCCAAGCTTTTATTTTCTTATTTGTAAAATGGAGATTATGATTGAAATTATATCACGGATTCATTATGAGGATTAAATAAGATAACATGCAAAGCTCTTAACATAAGTATCTGTACATAGTAAGTAGACAATATATTCTAGCTATTGATGAAGGTTGAGTCCTAACAGGAGGCTCACATATGTTGGGTGACCTCAGAGACTGCACTTACAATTTAAGCTGCTACTCTTGGTAAACAGTAGGCCATCTACTCTGTCATGTGTGTAGGTCCCCTAGTAAGAGTGTGAATGCAACATTGTAAGGGTCCAGATGTAAACCATCTGCTCTTGTTCTCCTTAGGTGTATTTAAGACAGAATACAGGGGCCAATTACCCATCCTCATTTTTCCAGTTAGTGGTACTGTGGAGCCTAAGTCGTCAGTGGTTATTAAAGTGGATTTCTGTACGGACCAGCCAAGAGTTGTAAATGAAATGGCAACGTGAGTATATGCCTGGGTTCTTAATTCTAATATGGATCTCAATACTTTCTGATTTCACCTTTAAGATGTGCCTTTGATTGTATACTAGCTTCTTTGTTCTTCTATTCAGCATTCATTCATTGAGTCTATACTATTTGCCAAGCACTAACCTCTCAGAAATGGGAAGAACTAGAGAATGGTATATGGGTACACATAATAGGATCTTCTAGTTTTGATTTCATGGACGTGAGAGAGTGGACCAGGGAAGGGTTCCACTAAGATGGTTATATTTGAACCAAACACTTACTGGCGAGCAAGAATTAGCCAGGCAAAGAGCAGCAGTGCAATATGATGTGTGTGTGTGGGGGGGGGTAGGAAGGTGATGGAGTGGGTTAGAGGAGGGATTTTAGGCAGACAACTAGCAGACTTGAAATCTTAGAGGCTAAAAGTGTTACATACTGAGGAATCTGTGGCAATATAGATTCAAAGAGCTGGAAATATGGAGTGATGGGTGATGACACCAGAAAACAGAATGGCGCAAGTTTCAGTAAAAGGCCTTGTAGTGCAGCATTTTAATGCTATTATGTTTCAATTCATTAGCAGAATGTGCAACCAATATAATGGGTCACCACCAAAATTTTTAAACAATGAATTAAAATATCAGAATGTATCTGTGTGTGTGTATGTGTGTGTGTGTGTGTGTGTGTGTGTGTGTGTGTATGTTCCTACAGTGCAATGTAAAATACATTTCTTACTGAAAGTTACAGTTATAAATGTGTGAGAAACAAGTATGAACCCTGATAGGAGCTTATGTTTATTATAACGGCTGTGAAGTCTCAGGAAGGTTTGAAGATGAGAGTGTCTTGATTAGTTTGCATTTTATTAATAGAAAGGTCATGCTAGTAATAGTGTGTAAAACAGACCAGGGAGTACAAATGTGAAGTGGGCATCTTGACTAGACACTATAATAGTACAGCAAGAGAGAAATGATAAAGGCCCAAGCTAACGTACAAATTGAGAGGATTGAGAGAAGTGTGCAGATTTGAGATATTTTATAAAGGAAGGTTTGTCTATATTTGCTAACCGATTGTAGAAAAGGAAGGTAAGACGTGGAACAGTTTTGTGAGAAAGATCTTAAGTTCAGTTTTGACGTGTTTGAATTGATTTGCTTTTCACAATACTGATGGAGCTGGTTAGGACCTATTACATTTACTTGTTTGGAACCCCAGAAAGAAATCTGGTCTAGATGTATAGGTTGAGTATCCCGTATCCAAAATGCTTGGGACCAGAAATGTTTTGGATTTTAGATTTTTTCGTATTTTGGAATATTTGCATTATACTTACTAGTTCAGCATGATCTGAAAGTCCTGAAAATAAGGTTGAATTTCATATCAGCACTCAAAAAGTTTTGGATTTTGAAACATTTCGGATTTGGAATTAGGAATACTTAACCTGTATTGGGTTGAAGGTTATCTGTGTATAAGTGGCAGATAAAACATGGAAGGATTGACTAGTCCTCAAAGGACTAACTTTGAGGAGAAGGGTAGAGTGTGAAAGCAGAAGAGAGAAACACCACTGTTCGTGGATTTTACAAAAGATCTACATCTTAAAAGAATGAGAAGGTACCGGATGGGATTGGCTGTTGGACTTGGAGGGTAGGATGAGTTAGAAAAGAATCTCAGAATTCTAGAACTAGATGTAACACTATATGAATATTATCATCTAACTAGTATTTATGAAATAATTAGTGATATGGACACACCATTGAGTTCTTTCTGGGGTCAATACATGAGATTGATATTGTTTTCCACCATCGTTGTTTCCTGTAGGCAATGAATCAGGCTGCACATATTCCATTCCACTGTGTCAATTCAGACAGACCAAAGGACCGGATAACCTCTGGCATATATGTGAAAGGAATTGCTTTTACACTTTTGAATTTTAATTATAATGTGATTCTGTAAAATTTCTGTTTCTCCAAGTATTTAGAAGAAAAATAAAGTATATAGACTTCTAATTAAAAAAATATATATTATGTGCATTTTTCATTATCTTGTAGAGTGAATTTGCAAGGTCGTCCTGATGTACTCTTGAATATCAAAGCTCATGTGGTTGAGCAGATTATTGAATTATTAAACATGAGTAGTGACAAAAAGTTGGAATGCATACGTTTTGGTTCTATTTTCTTTGGAACATCAAAAATTGAACATGCACTTCTATTCAATAATAGCCCAGAATCCATAAATTGGGTGGCCATAATGCAAGATAATTCTGTGGGAGAAGAAGTGGTAAGTAAATGGTACAACAGAGGAATATCAGGTATTATGATTTGAAACAGACTGTGTTAAATCTACTAATAACCAGAAAGCTGTTTTATTGATCAAAATATGTTTTAACTTGGGTAGATAGATTTGATTTCATGTATATCCAGTGGTAACCTGAAAAACTTCAGAAATTAAGTAAATGTTTATAGTAATATATATCTGAAATAAACCAGACAAGTGTTTGTTATAGATCAGCAGCTAATTGTGGGAATTTATGTTCTCACCAATTTTTCAATAGTTTTTTAAATTTTATCATGTGTCTTGGTCAAATTTATTTATAAATGTTACTTTGATGACAGATATCTGTATTTCCTAGTTCTGAAATTTCAACAATTATTTTATGACCTCATCTTAAAATATTTTTTGTTTATGTTTTGCCTTACTCTTTTATTTCTGATTTTATATTACAGGGCACAAATATTCGACAAAGAACAGATATTGCTTTAAATAATCTCACCTACTTAAACAAAATAAAAGACATAGATATTACTGCTCTTATCTCCTGTGTTCCTAATGAAGGGGCTTTACTACCTTATGAAAAGACTGTAATTACATTTTGTTTCAGCCCAAAGTAAGCAAACATTAATTTTATTGCAGTGTTAAGTATTTTAATGTGAAATATATTAACCATACTTTAATCAGATTTATTTTAATACTGTCATAGTAAAACTTGCCAGAAGGCATAAATTAAGATCTTTTTTGTCATGATTCTAGATGTTTCTAACATGGTTAATAGTATTTCCAATAATTATAAATATGGTTTTAAATACTTCATGTTAAATTAAAAAGCTCTTCAGATCTTATAGAAATGGGGTGGTGGAAATGAAAATTTGGACTGTGGCCTCAAACTAATTTGTGCAACCAAGACCTTGTTGTCCTTGTAGGAATAGTCAGGTGCATGCAGTTATGTTTTAGGTACCTCCAAAGAGGTTGCAGTGCTCCTGGCAGGGCAAAAACCTTGCTGAGAATCATGAGTGTTAAGCCTATAGCACCTGCTGAGATCAACCACACTCATTTGCTGAAATTCATATAGACTTTTAGCACTTAAGCCAATGTATATTTTTCACAACTCCACTTTCTTTGTTTTGTTATTTATCTGGAAATGTTCTAAATATATAGTGGCAATTTCAGCAACACCTTGGTAGATTGTAGTATGTGTCAATAATGGATCCAATTGCAAATATGTTTACCCTTGCTTGTGAGAATGTAATATTTAATGTACTTCTTTTTGTGGAACAAGGTCACTTGGTGAGATCAATTGCCTGTTGAAGATTGAGTTGTGTTTTAATTTAAGGAGGTTAATAAATCAAGTAATTATTCTATTTGTATATCTACAATTGCCTTATTAATGATACCTTCATACAGAAAGTTTCTTAGGTAAATCTATAAGATTCTGTTTAATGCATAATCTTTGAAATTCCAAATACTCTATTATATGGTAGCATGTTAACTTACAATATTTTGAGAGTGTGATATAGACTCATAGGTATGAATATGATTTGAAGTCTTAAACATGTTAGGAACACACCATTTGTATTCCCATTTAATATTGCACATTAGCCTTTTGTGAATGTATTTGCATATGCACTGCTAGAAGAGCTGACCTCTAGGTAAGGCAGGTAAAGATAGCCAATGTGCAGGCCTATGATGTAACCCATCTCTGTCTTTGATCCTGTTCTCCATCTTTCCACCCTTCCTTTCCTTTTCTCCTCTAATAAGATTTAACTGTTAAATATTTTTCTCCAAATTACTTGTTGTTCACTAACAAGAATGTGGCTGGCAATATGTACTTAGTACACTGGGGGAGACAAATATATAACAGAGGTTTTTGATTACACCAAGGGGTAAGATGGACTATTATAGAGAAGTAATCAGAGGCCTGAGCTAGAGATGAATTCTGCTTGGAAAGAAAATCCTTTACAGAGTAAGTGGCATTTGAGCTAGACCTTGAGGACTTAGTATATTTAAATTACTCTTCATTTGCAAATGTTGGCACAAATTCATTTTTCTGAAACTTTACACCCTGTGGCCTTCTTTTGGTAATTCTCTCTAGCTGTGCAGTGATTTTGGAAAGTGGATCACAGTTGTACTTTCATTTTCTTGCATAGATTTAAAGATTGGGTTGATACTCCCTTTTGAGAGATGATAAAGTGTATCACTTTGCTCTAAAAGTAACTGTGATTTTTTTTACAGGTTAATAATTGATAGTAAAAAGGATATTGAACCTTCACACAGGCAGGACTATGCTCTCTTTCTGAGATTTGATTCTGTAGGAAGTAAAGATGGATTTTTGAGAGATGATAACTGTAAAACCATCAAAAGTAAGTGTGCAATTAACAAAATAATCAAATGTGTAGCAGTTTAAATTTTTTTAGAAGTTTGAACATCAATATTTGTAGAGGCAATTTAATAAAAATATACAATTATTGACTAGAACAAAACTGCATTAAAGTGTCATCTGTGTGGCATGTTAAAAAGGAAATCAACCTCAGAATCATTTACATAATAATTTTCCAGGTTACAATTTAGATGACTTTATAATTTTTAAATGATATAAATATACATGATGATCTACAGTTTAAGGAATGAAAAAAACCCTAGTTTCTCTATATACCTACGTTCTCTCTTAGTGATTGGTATGCAAACAAATGATCCATTCCATCTCTACCAGATATTCAGCTGTCTTAGAATCCACATATAGAAACAGTCAAATAACAAAATCTAGAGGTATAGTAAGTAGGGTGCAGCACCCTGTTATAGGACATTGAGAAGTGCATATGTTTTGCAGGCCATATGTCAAGATACACTATACTTTTTACATTCTCAGATAATATTGGGTTGGTTGCAGTGAGGGAAAAAAATGGCATGGGAATTAGAGTTCAGCTTACCAAAACAGATCAAAGAGAAAATAAATAGGCAGATTAGGGATCAAATTTAGGAAAATAAGCCTTGCAAAAGAAGGCTAGGTCCATCCTTGATGCTTAGGCAAGTCAAGAGTCTAGACGATTTGTGTGTCAGTACAAGTGATATTGAGCAGGATTTAACTGTGTTCCCAGGGCAGAAGTTAATTGCTCTGTTACTATTTCTGTCTTGGTTTGTGATATCAAGCTTTGTCTGCTTCTCTTAGAACATTTGTACAAACTTTGCAGGTGAATCTAGTTTTGAATAGCTAGAGATGGAGGTGCTAGATCTGCCTTAAAGGTAATAAATTAAGAGCATTAGTAACAATACATAAACTTTTTTCTTTTGAGTTCTAGTTACACTGTTCTCTTGCAAAACTGTTCTTTCACCAAATTGGAACCTATAATCCATAGTTCCTATCTTCTTTCTAGTGTCAAAAACTTCATGTCTATATTCTTGTTTATATTCAGCTTATATTCCATTGTCCATTATTCTAATCATTCTTTTCCATGTACACTTAAATCTATTTGGCCCAAGTCCCATAGTGACTGTGTGGAAAAACCCTCTAATTGTATTAATTCAACTTTAGTCAATGATGGGTCTGCACATGGGCAGCTGATTGTGCTGGAGAAAAACACAAAACTTTGCTGAGAGGTTTCACTTTCTATCTATAACCACTAACCCCAGTGGATTCTTTAAGATGTTTGACATTCCTATTGCATTCCCCCATTCATTCACTTTCTTACACTTTGAGATGAATATCACATACCTTCTATTCTCTCTTCAAGCCCCAATCCTTCCTCCTTCATCTTTGCTGTAAGCTTGAGAACACATAGAGTGGCCTAGTAGACATTTCCACTAGAATATCTACTAGGCAGCTCAACATGCCCAATTCAGAACTCCTCGTTTCCCCTGACCTGCCTCTCCCCCGGTCTTTCTTGTTTTAAGAAATGGCAATTCCATCATTTCAGTTGGTCAGGCCAGAAACTTAAAGTTATCCTTTATCATCTGTTCACTTTCCTATCCTGCATCCAATCTATCAGCAAATCTTATTAACATTACTCTCAAAAATGTATCTAAAAATATGACTATTTCTCACCATTCTTTTACTCTTCTCCAGCCATATTGGTTCCTAAGGGTTTTGTGAATATATCAAGCAAGTTCCTGCCTTATAGTGTTTGTGTTAGCTGTTCTATCTGCCTGGAGTATACTTTTCTTGGATTTTCATATGATTTTCTTCCAGAATCCATTTATCTCTTTGCTCAAATGTCTTCCTATCAAAGAGCCCTTTTTGGACCTCTCTACATAAAACAGAATCCCAAGACCCTGCACTGTATCTGTCTTATCCTATTTTACCTTTACCTTTAGCATTTATCCTCTATGAAATACTATATCAATATATAGCATTATTTGGTTGTTATTGTCAATGCCACTTCACTAGAATGTAAAGTCCACAAGAGCAGGAACTTGGTCTCTTTATACAGCACTGCTGTATCCTCAAGGCCTAGAAGAGTACCTGGCACAAAGAAGGCACTCAATAATATTGTGAAATGAAAAGACTGAATGAGCTACCCATTTCTCATTAGGTCTGTCAGATCACACTATTTGGACTAAGCAAATATATTCTGGATTCCCCAAACACTTTTTATGTTCAAAAGCTATTGTTGCTTTTACAGGTGATCGATTTCAGAAAGTGGAATTAGCACTGACAGGCTCAGGACTTCCTGTCTTACTACAGTTTGATCCAGGAAAAATCCTTAATTTTACACCTTGTGTTATGGGTGAGCGTTCAGAGATTCAGTGTATTATACGAAATCAATCCAAATCACTTCCTGTGATGTACCACTTTAAAAAAACTGGAAATTTTAAAATTGATCCTGAAAGGGGCACGATTAATGAAGGATGTAGTCAGGTAAGATAATTTTTCTTTGCTTTCACATTCCAGCGAACATTTTAAGGTCTCCTAAAATGCTATGCAGAAGATTATAAACAATATCTTTTCTACCAGTGTTTATAAATCGTGTTTCTTCTGCAGCCTAGTTGTGAATACTTTTATATAGGTACTCATATAGAATCCATAATTATTTGTTAAATGTCTGTCATGTGCTAGGGAAGACATTTAACACTATAGGGAATTTATAGAAGTGCAAAACATAGTTACTGCCTCTGAGATATTTTTAATGTAGTACAGAAGTACAAGACATATATGCAAACAGGTATGGCTTAAGAAGAATGTAAAATATGTTAAAAGAGAGCTGTATCAAGGTGATATAGAAACTCAGAAAACAGAACTTACTTCCAGCCACATAGAAAGGTCTCCATAGGAGAGTAACATATGAGCCAGAGCTTGAAGGTTGAGTAGAATTTTGAAATTTGAAACTAGTGATATGTACCTGGCCTAGAAATTACATTGTTGGTGCAAAGCAGAAAAAGAGAACAACAAGGCATACCTGTGAGAACTAGGCCAGTTTGTTGATGATGGGGGCTGTTTGTTTGTTTGTTTGTTTGTTTTCAATTGTTACACAGGTAACTCTTTCCCAGATCCTCTAAACCAGGGTTTGGCCTGATGCCTGTTTTGGTAAGTAGTGTTATTAGAACATAGCTGCTCTTATTTGTTCTTCTATTGTCTAAGGCTATTTTCATGCAACAAAGGTGGAGATGAGTAGTTATGAGAAGACTGTATGCGCTATGAAGCCTAAAATATTTACTGTTTGACAATTTACAGAAATAGTTTCTCAAACCCTGCTCTAAACACAGTCAACATGAGTGCTTTCAGTTTCTTATGTTACATCTTTTCTCCACCGCAGTGATGTGGTTCATAAAGTTACCTATGAGAACTTTTTCCCAGTTGCAATCAAGAGCTCTTGTACACATGCAGCTCCTATTTACATCTCTTACTGCATCATTAGTATAACTCCCCCCCTCCAAATCTGGGTAGAATTAATAAGAAAAACAGCAAATGTTAACCACATTATACTAAACATTTTCTTTTTAACTGCTTCCTACATTTCCTTTTATCCAAGTGTCTTATACCTGCCAATTCATTTATGTGTTTTTCCATATACCATCTCTAAACATACATATCTTTAAAAACATATCTGGGTATGGCACACAATGTTTGGAGGCTGGGCACACTTGTAGTTCTAACTTGGGCAGTGTAAAGGCAATATATGTAACCAAAACATTTGTACCCCCATAACACTCTGAAATTTAAAAAAAAGAAAGAAACACACACACACACACACACACACACACATCTGATAGCTAAGTCCCCAACATTATTTGTTATTCTCTACATTTCTGTGGAGAACAATTTTCAAATAATTAATTATTTGAAAATTTTAATAATTTTCAAATTAGTAAACTAATAATTTTAACACTAATAATTTTCAAATTAGTAAAAATCTGAAAGTAAGAAGTCTGGTGGACACTAGAGAACTGCGACCTGCACAGACTGATCAAATAGCCTTTGACCATTTAGAAATGTTTTAAGATTATTCTTTTTAAAATAGCAACTTTATTGATATGTAGCTCACATACCATAAAATTCACACATTTAAAGTATACTATTCAGTGGTATTTGTATGTTCACAGGGTGTAACCATCAGCCCTATCTAATTCCACAACATTCTCATCACCCTAAAAAGAAACCCCATGCCAGTTAGCAGTCACTCCCCTTCCCATTCATCAGCCTCTGGTAACTGCTAATCTATTCTTTGTATCTATGGGTTTCTCAGTTCTGGACATTTTATATGAATGTTATATTTGTATGTGGTCTTTTATGTCTGGATTATTTCATTTATCATATTATTTTCAAGGTTCATCCACATTGTAGTATGTATCAATACTTCATTCCTTTTTATAGCCAAATCAAATTCCATTATATGGATACACTACCATTTATTTATCCATTCATCAGTTGAGGAACATTTGGATTGTTTCTACTTTTTGACTATTATAATGCTGCTATAAACATTCATGTACAAGTTTTTATGTGGACAGATTTTTAATACTCTTGAAATGCTGTAATACCTAGTTGTGGAATTGTTGTTGGGGTCATATGAAAACTCTGTGTTTAACTTTTTGAGAACTCATCATACTGTTTTCCAAAGGGACTATACCATTTCATATTCTCACCAACAATACGTGAACATTCTAATTTCTCTATACCCTCAACCACGCTTGTTACTGTCCTTCTTTATTATACCCATCTCAGTGGGTGCAAAATGGCATATCATTGTAGCTTTCATTTACATCTCCCCAGTGACTAATGATGATTGAATTTCTTTTCATGTGCTTATTGTCCATTTTATATCTTCTTTGGAGAAAGGTTCATTCATATCTATAATAGGCAGAATAATGACTGCCTAGAAATATCCCTATTCTAATATCTTGAATTTATAAATATGTGTTGTTCCATGGCAAAGGAGAATTCAAGTTTCAGTTGGAATTAAGGTTGATAATCAACTGGCTTTAAAGCAGGGACATTAGCCTGGATTATCTGGGTGAACCAAAATATCATCACAAAGGGTCCTTAAAAGTAGAAATTAGGTGCAGAAGAAATGTCAGTGTCAAAGTGATGTGATGTGAGTAAAACTTTACTGTCCACTGATTGCTGGCTCTGAAGATGCAAGGTGGGACATAAGACAGAATGGGATGCCTTTAGAAGCTGGAAAAGGCAAGAAAGTGGATTCTCTGCTAGCATTTCCAGAAATAAACACAGTCCTGCCAACATTTTTATTTTTGCCCACTGAGACCTGTGTCAGACTTCTGACCTACACAAATGTAAGATAAGAAATTTGAACCTACACAATTTTTTTGTAATTTGTTATTACAAAAATTGGAAAATAATAGAACATCCTTTATCCATTTTTAATTGAGTTGTCTTTTGTTGAATTGCCAAAGTTCTTTATATATTCTGGATATAAATCCATTATCAGACACATAAATTGTGAATATTTGTCCCATTCTGTGGGAATCTTCTTACTTTCTTGATAGTGTTCTTTGAATTATAAAAGTATTTAATTTTGATTAAGTCCAATCCATCTAGTTTTTTTGTTCATTTGTTTCTTGTGCTTTTAGTATCATATCCAAGTAGTCATAAACTATTTAAAGTCATTAAATTTTGTTCCTGTTTTTCTGTAAGAATTTTAGCTCAAAATTGTAAATCTATTATCCATTTTGAGTTAATTTTTGTATGTGGTGTGATTTAGAGGTCCAAATTCATTGTTTTACATATAGATGCCAAGTTATCTTAGAATATTGTCATGCTTATCAAAAATCATCATGAATGATTGTGAATATAAGGATTTCTGAGCTACCAATTCTATTTTGTTTATGTATGTTTATTCTATCATAGTATGAAATATATTGATTACTGCAGCTTTGTAGTAATTTTTTAAATTGGGAAATATAAGCCCTCTAAATTTGTTCTTTTTAAAGAATATTTTCGGCTAATTTTAGATTCTTGCAAATCCACATGAATTATAGCATTAGCTTGCCAATTTCTGCAAAAAAATGGCAGCTTGGATTTTGAAAGGAATTGTGTTGAAATTGTAAATCTATTTAGGCAATATTGCCATTGTACCAATATTAAATCTCATGATTCATCAAGATGGGATATCTTTCCACTTATTTATGTTTTCTTTAATGCCTTTCAATGATGTTTGTAATTTTCAGTGTACAAGTTTTATAATTCTTTTAAAAATTCATTTCTATATATTTTATTCTTTTTGATGTTATATACATAAAATTGAGTTCTTAATTTTATTTTTGGGTTATTCATTGTTAGTGTATATAAATACAGTTGTTTTTTGCATACTGACCTTGAATCCTGCAAACTTGCTGAACTCATTTATTAGTTCTGGTAGTTTTTTGGTGGATTCTTTGGGGGGTACAAGACCATGTCATCTGTGGATAGTGGTCATTTTACATCTTTCTTTCCACAGTGGATTCATTTTACTTATTTATTTTCTTATCTAATTGCCCTAACTACAACTTCCAGTGCAATGTCAAATAGAAGTGGCAAAAGAGGATATCATGTCTTGTTCCTAATCTAAGGGGAAAACATTTAATCTTTCATTAGTAAGTATGATGTTAGCTGTAGGTTTTTTATGGATTGCCTTAATAAACTTCAGTAAGTTCCATTTTATTCCTAGTTTGTCATGTTTTTATTATGAAAGTGTATTGTATTTTGTCAGCTATTTTTTCTGTCTCTATTAAAATAATAATGTGGTTTTCTCTTTTATTCTATTAAGATGGTATATTACATTAATTGATATTCAGATGTTAAACCTGGGATAAATCATACTTGAACATAGTGTATACTCCTTTTTATATGTTGCTGGATTCAGTTTGATAGTATTTTGTTGAGGATTTCTGCATATATATTCATAAGGGACATAGGACTAAAGTTTTATTTTCTTAAAATATTTTTGATTTTGAGATCAGAGTAAAACTGGTGCCATAAAATTAATTGAGAAGTGTTCTCTCTCCTCTTTAATTTTTAGAATCACTTGTGAAGGACTGGTGCACTAATTCTTCCTTAAGTGGTTGGTAGAACTCCCCACCAAAGCCATTTGGTTCTGGGCTTTTCATTATCAGAAATTTTTTGATTACTGATTCAATTTCTTATTGAAGTGTTATTCAGATTTTCTATTTCTTCCTGGGTCAGTTTCAGTAGTTTGTGTCACTCTAAAAATTTTCCCATATCATTTAGGTTATCCAATTTTTTTTTCATACAATTGTGGATCATAATCCCTTATAGTCCTTTGTACTGATGTAAAGTTGATAGTGGAGTACTTTTGGTTTACTTGCTTTATAATGTTTTTCCAAGTCTCTATTTCCTTGTTAATCATATATCCAGGTTTCCTAATCATTATTTATAGTGAAATATCAGAGTCTCCAACTATT